TAATTTGTAATGTAATAGTATTAGATTAGATTTGTCATGTTATTTTTTCTATAGAATTCTTGAGCCTCCTAATACATTACCAAGTTTAATATTCTACGCTACTCGATTATGTCCATAAAATTTCTCTTATTTATATCTACTATTATCTACACATATTTTATTTTTATTTTATTTTATAGACCATGTTTGATATCAAACGTTTCTCATAACTAAATTTTTCGAATTACATGGAATTGTATTGTAACAAAGATGTAGAGAAGGAAATTGATATGGGTTCAATTTAAATTAATTTCGTATGAATTATATACATTAATAGTGTTATACAATAGTATTGATTATGGAGTTTAATTAATGTTTTATGTTCTAAAATTTAATTATATTTTTTCATGTTCTCTTATTCTTCTCTATATAAACATGGAAATTTTCTATTCAACATAAATATTTTCAATTGTTCATTAGTCACTATAATTGATGTTTTAAAGTTATTATATGAAATAGTTAGAACATGAAATATGTAGTCCATAAAAATTTTGAGTTTTTAAAACTTTATTACATAATCAAACATATTAAACATAAAAGTTTTGAACTTTTATTAAACCCTATAATCAATGTTTTCAAGTGATACAGTTTAGTTGGTGATTTGCCTCGACACAATTAAGCTTATTCAACCAAATAGGTAGATTTGATTTTCATCATCTTTGTATGATGCTATTTTTCCTAGTTACTATTTTTTCATTAATCATTGTTCTCAAATTTATTTTCAATATTGTTCTTCAAATTTAAGTGTTTAATCATTAATTTCAGTCCATCATCATTAATATCACTATTGATTTCTCACAAAATTATAGTCCCTAATTTGTTTTCTAAGTGTCCACTCAAAATAAATTGTAGTAGTCATATTATACTGAATATATATCACTTAAATACCAAAAACCAAAATATTATAAAGTATATAATCAAATCAGTATAAATATTATTAGTTATTTTTAAAAATCCAAAAATGTTGTCGGTTATATAAATTTTTTAATAAAAGTAAATGGTTTTATATGATTTTGATTGATTACTTAATATAAACATGTTAAAAGATAACGATAAGTATTGTAATCTGAAAATAATATTTTCTAAACACTTATAGATCCTATAATGAATTATCTTTAGATCATAAAATTTTAAAATATAAATCAATATAATTTATGATAATGTATATATTTTTCCTAACAATAAACTCACAATAATTTAATAATTAAAATAATTACATTTTTTGTATTTTTTATAATTTTTCCTAACTTTCTTTTCTTAGTGAAAGGATTAACAAGCCTTTTGTCGGTGTGTGCTACAAAGATTTATATAAACCTATCTGATAATAAGGATGATGATCAAACTCAAAGGTATTTTATATTTTATATTTAGGAACTAACATAAATTTATTTTCACAAATTGAATTAACCATAACAATGATTTGAATTATTAATAATTTTAAAATTTTGATTCTGAAAATTTTATCTTAGTTCTATTGATGCGCCAACTCAATACTAAAACTTTGAGACTAAGACAAGATCATTAAGCACACAAGTGAACTTTAAAATCAAAGACGGTACTACTGATGACATATTTAAAGTAAATGATTTGAGCGACAGTGATGTAAGTGATTTCTAATATTTTTTAGTATTTAGTTATTTCTGAAATTTTCATATATCTTGAGTTATAGTGTTCACTATACGTAATTATCTGAAATTTTCATATATCTTGAGTTATAGTGTTCACTATACGTAATTAAAAAAATATGAAACATTGACAAGAGCTATATTATGGAATTACTATATACTTGAATCTCTTAATTTATATAGGTTTATTGATTTATAAGAAAATTATATGAATCATATTACAATTTAATGAATAATGAATAAATAAATACATAACTTAGAGACTAATGGTAAATTATTAAAATGATTTATCATGCATTATAATATCAGCCATTATCTTAAGCTTCACTTAAATATTGCATTTTTAATATCTACAATTTTTAAGAGAAATATTTTTTTTTACAATGCTCAAATCACGAGAATTGAGAAAATGTCGGGTTGAGGTCATTCACATGTTGATTGTAATAATAAGTTGAAAGAGATCAATAGGGTTCTTTATTCCGGCCGTCACAAAAAAGAGATCAAACATGTAAAAAAGAGCTAAATATTATATTATAAATGTTATAAACATTTATAGTTATAAAATATAAGTTTTAAATGAAAGAATTTTAAATTTGTCACAAACATGTTAATTATCTTCAGGGACAAACTTATCTTACAAGTGACGGATGGAACATGCATCACTACATTTATAATATTCCATCACGATGTTCTGCGTTTGATGAAAATTGATTCTTCGGAATTAGAAGCTTAGTTGGGTTTGGTATATAACCTCGAATTACATTAAAGTGTTAATATGTTTTTAACTTAAACAATGAATTTCATGTTGATTTTATGTTTATAAAAATAGGATGCAAATAATACGGATATGCCACTTAGTATAAAGAGATTAATTGGTAGAAATATGTGTTTTCATGTGAACGTTATAGAGTTTAACACAAGTAAATGCATTGAAGACTACACGGTTATTAAAATCATTAATAATGATGTGGATGAAGAAAAACTCAGGGGATTATTACTGCTAACTGATGGTAAGGTAATGCTTTGATAATCTAACAAATAAAATTAAATTATATTAAACATGTAATGTGTTGATTGTACTAATAATAAATTTATTTTTATCAAAAGATGAGAAATCCTACGATATGTCACAAGTTGATGGATGACAGTCAATTTATTGAAGATACCCTAATTTATCCACATCTGGAAATACAATCGATAAAAAGTTCAAAGATAAGATTATTGAGAAATTTAATAGTAGTTTCTTTATTTCAAAAATAAAATCATGTTTGTGTTATTCTAAGAGAAATATACTATTATCACAGGATGAAAATGTAAATGAAATGAATCAGCACGGTATCATTGATAATCAATATGTTTAATCAAATCTAGACATATCTACCTCCATACCTACCATTAATAGTAAGGAAAAAAAAGATATATCACATATTGCTACACTTGATATGTTTGCATTTAAAACACCACCTACAAGCATTGCCAGAACAAGGATACAATCTGGTTGGATACTTTATACATTAATTTTTTTTATAATTTTATGTAATTTTTAATATTTTACTCTTTAATTTAATTATTACACATATTTTACGTGTTGTAGATATGAACAAAGAACCAGCACTCTCAAGTTTGAGTAACAGGATGAAGACAGAGAAAAAATGATTAAAATTTGGAGGAGCTTTCTTTAAAATGTAACATATTATATATTGAGAATAGTTGATTATTAGAAAACAATTTTTTGGGATTGCATCCATTGTTTAATGGCTTTGAACAATATCCTTATTATATATGTAATTTTTCGACTTACATTAAGATACTTTTCTAATATCCGGTTTATTCATTAAGTAAGTCAATTTTAGGTTAAATGATTTTAATTTTAATTATAACATAATACATTAGTTCTATTATCGTGATTTCCATGCATTGACAATTTTTGTTTGCCTCAAATGTGGGGTTACCATGCTTCGGAATATGAGATGAGTCATTGGAATTTCTTAATTGTTTGCGGATACGACTGATTGAAATATGATGAAATCGAGGTGAACTTTGATAGGATTGTGCTTAGCACGAGCTAAAAGACTATGTATAGATAGATAGTGGACATCCTATGTGGCTTAATTTTATTTCTTAAAATAAAAAAAAATTATTAGAATAATTGGACACTTTTCAATTACCATCTAATTGTAAAGAATCTGCATTAGATTAGTTTGACACTAAAGTAGCATTTGGAAGATCTTGTGCGGATATTAGATGTTGGGTCTTGGGCTTCGGTGTAGTTGGGCCTTCGACATTTAAACACATGACGTAACATGGTATAAAATGAAGTATCATATCTCGTTCTTTTTATGGTTGATTTCAGAAAACCCCTGAACTTTAGGGAGGGAGTGTTTCACCAAATGGATAATTTTCTTAATTCCCCTAAGCACCTTTAGTTTTAAGATTTATTATGCATAACTTTCCTAATTTTTTTACCCTACTAAAATCCACATGAAATTTTTTTATTTAATCCCTCAAGCCAAAACCATCAATTCTAATATGTCACGCAACAAATCTATGAAAAAAAGAAAGAAAAGAGCACCTTATTAGTCCTACAAAAATTTACCCATTCTATCCTTTTTCAAATAAATGGATAAAAAGAATATCATGTTTTCTATCATGTTCTTGTCGTGTGGGATGTTAGAGTTGATGGTGCTAATTCAATAAAGAAGTTTAGAGGGTACGTGCAATAATCTCTAAGGTTTAAAAGTGTAAATAGAACTAAAAATACTTTAAGGGGCTTTATTGTAAATGCTATAATATTTTGTTTTTTGCTACAGTGATATCACTACAATAATAATGCAATAATTCACTGTAGCATTTATTCTAGCACGAATAGTGAATCTTCTATCCCTCTATAATAATGAGAGGATCTAAGATTCATTATTTATGCTACAGTAAATTACTATAGCATTGTTACTGTAGCGCAGACATGAACTAAATTATTGTAGAACTATTACTATAGCACATGCGGGAATTGTAGCGTTTAAAAACATTAATGTAGCACTATTAATATAGCCCAAGCGGGATACTGTAGTATTTAAAAAAATATTATTATAGCAATTATAAAAATTATATTTAAATATAAAATTATTGTAACAAAAAATAAAAAAAAATGGAAACCGTGCTTTGCCTGGGATGCACCTAGTTAGTGTAATTCTAAAATAAAAAACCCTTTCCCAATTGTATTTGTATTCACACGGCGGCATGCCTTTTTTAATCCTCAACAAATTAAGACGCGTGAATTGCACGTGCCATTAGCCCCAAATACCCAACCGCGTCAAGTCTACGCTATAAGATCGCATCCGATCGCGGTGGCCGTCGATTCCTCCTCCATTGCCATAAAAACTCTCCTATTCCTGCAAGAGAGAGAAAAAAATCTAGTTCTTTGTCTGGCGGCGATCCAAAACCCCCTCCAATTCTTCAGGTCAGAATCAAATCCATCAAATTTCTTCTGTATTGCGATTTCTAGGGTTAGGGTTTTCGTAGGTACGGTCAAATTCCTCTTTCTTGCATCTATTCTCGATCAAGAAATCTCTAGGGTTTCGATTTTACCCCTTTTCGTTCTTCGATCTGATGGCGGCGGGTCGGTACCGGGGTTATAGAGATCACGAGTACAGGGCCCGGGATTTTGACCTAGAGATTTCTGGAAGGAAGGATCGGTATCATGATCGTAACGGCGATCGATACAGAAATCATGGAAAAATTCACCATGATAGGGCAAAAGATTGGCACAGGGACGCAAAAGAGAGGGAACTGATTAATGGATCGCATGGTGTTAAGAGATCAGTTGAGCGCGAGCCTGGTGAATTGTCGAGCGGATCTGATGATGAGGGCGTTGACAGTGGTCAAAATGGGATCTTGGTTAATGGGAAGCGGAAAATTTCTCCGATTGTTTGGGATAACGACAACGATGGCAAGACGAAAGGCAAGATGGAATCAAGAAATGAGCCCCCGAATTCGGTTGAGTTTCACGGACCGTCAGATTCCCCTCAGGTTTGTGAGAAGATGGAGGAGGACGAAGAACTTCCGCCGGCGAGAAACATTTCGTTCTCACGATGGGTTAATGGAAATGATGAGGAGACGGAGGATGTTGATGAGGTATTTGTGCCCAAGAGGAGGAAAACTGCTAGCCCCTTGGATGCCACTCCTGAGCTTGGTGAAGTAATCTCAAGAGAAGGATCTGGAGGGTCTACTTCGATGCGTTCTAGTTCCAGTGGAGATTTCGTGGATGTTAGTGATGGCAAGTATGATATTAATGGAAGTGAAGGTTTGTTGGAAACTGATTCTGAGGCTGAGGATTACAGAGATCAAACCCTGGAGCCAGGCTCCGCACCTCAGAGAAGTTTCAACATGCTTCAGGGATGTAGGAATGTTGATGAATTCGAGAGGTTGAACCGGATCGATGAAGGAACTTACGGGGTTGTTTTCCGGGCAAGGGATAAGAAGACTGGGGAAGTGATGGCTCTGAAGAAGGTGAAATTGGAGAAAGAGAGAGAGGGATTCCCACTAACTGCTTTGAGGGAGATAAACATTTTGCTTTCTTTTCATCACCCATCAATTGTGGATGTGAAGGAAGTTGTTATGGGTGATCTTAATAGTGTCTTCATGGTTATGGAGTACATGGAACATGACCTTAAAGGTTTGATGGAGAGTATGAAGCAGCCATTTAGCCAAAGTGAGGTCAAGTGCCTGATGTTACAGCTGCTTTCGGGTGTCAATTATCTTCACGACAACTGGGTACTTCACAGGTATTAGGTCCTTTTTGAATTCTATGTTTGTATCTTGACTTTATACCTTCCGTTAGTGAAGGTTTTTAATTATGTTTCTAAGTATGTTTAGTCCTTTCTTCTACATAGGGATCTGAAGACATCAAATATTCTCATGAATAACCGTGGTGAGTTGAAAATATGTGATTTTGGGCTAGCTCGGCAGTATGGAAGCCCATTAAAGCCTTATACTCAACTAGTGGTAACTCTGTGGTACAGGTAAGTTCCACATTGGTTTTTATTTTGTTCAATTATATTAGATCAAGATATATGTTATCTATTTTGTTAGATGGTGTCCTGTTCAACTCACTCTTCTCTGTAAGTGCAGGGCACCTGAACTTTTACTAGGAGAGAAGGAATATTCTACTGCTATTGACATGTGGTCCTTGGGGTGTATAATGGCTGAACTTTTAGCAAAGGAACCATTGTTCCCTGGAAAAACTGAGGTTGATCAACTAGACAAGGTATATGCATCAATGCACTTACATTATGAACTGCCTTTTGGTTTTGATTTTGTTTTTCATGATGTGTGTATCGTTCTTTCTTGCAGATTTTCAGAACTCTTGGTACGCCAACTGAGAAGATATGGCCTGGTTTTGCTAAATTGCCTGGAGTTAAAGCTAACTTTGTCAAGCAACCGTAAGTTAACAGTTTTTTGCTTTTCAAATTAGAGTAAGCCCTGTCACACTTCTAGAAGGCTTAGGTTTGCTTTTACTTCTATTTAGATGATATTTTTCATTCTGCGGTTAATTTCTTAGCCTCATCCTTTTTCAGTTACAACAAGCTACGAGAGAAGTTTCCTCCAACATCATTTACTGGACGCCCAACTCTGTCAGAAGCTGGATTTGATTTATTGAATAGACTCCTCACCTACAACCCTGAGAAGGTGATATTTGAGTAACAATATTATTGTAGTTTTTTTTTCTGATATGACTGTTTATATGTGCTCTAATGTTACTTGTTTATTTTGTTACAGAGGATAACAGCAGAAGATGCTCTTAATCATGCTTGGTTTCGGGAGGTTCCTCTGCCTAAATCAAAAGATTTTATGCCAACATTTCCTGCCCAGCATGCACAAGACAGGTACTTGGAAGTTTTTTAAACTGCCTTTAACCACAAACAAGTTAGCTGATTTTTTTTCATCCTTTGCTTTTATAATTACTAACCAAAGTTTGCATGTGGCGTAGGCGTCTAAGAAGAACTATGAAGAGTCCGGATCCACTGGAAGAGCTACGAAGGAAGGAAGGGGGAGTTGGGAATGGCGGGTTATTTGGTTGAGGGAAAAAAACATAGCCCCTCTGCACACAATCATTTGCAGGTGGAGAAGCTGATGGCTAAGTTCTTTGAGGTGAGAGACATGCTTTGAAGATGATTCTGCATCTGTATCTTACTGCAAAACGAAGAATGATGATGTTCTTTAGCAGGCACCCTTATACTGATTTCGATGGAGATACATACTCTTCATTTCTTCCATTGAACACATTTTATTGCAGGATAGTTTGTTCTGCCACAGTGGTGATTCAAAAATTTATTCATCCAAATGCAAGCCTGCATTATAAGGTCTGGCATGTTGGCTTTAATTTTCATACAATGAGCTCATATGTAAATTGTAATATGTTTCCTCTTGTGATCTTTGTAACAATGCTCCAAAGTCAGGATTTATCCCAGAAAATTAATGGTTATATTGTTTCTATTTTTAGTGTTTCTTTTAATTTTCACGTTGTGTTTGCAAGAAACGATGATGTGAAGAGGACGGACATCATTTGCTTTTCCATTATGATGAAGAAATTGAAGGATACCTTTTTTTCTTGTGGAAAGGTAATTTGCTCCTAGATGTTCTTGATTGTTAACAATGGCTAGCCACTGCATGCTGATGAGTTGAATTTTCGGCGTTGCATATCTATATAGTTGTGTTAGGTTGTAAAATTTAAAATTTCTGGTAAGGACGAATGCCATCCATCATAACATTATTTTTGTATTTTGAAGGATATCTTTGTGTAGTGGGTAACCTGTCTTCACTGGTATCTTCCTGCTCATTTTCACAATTTATGATTTCAGGAGTACTTTCTTCAGTCAATCTAATTGTTTAGATTGTTAATTACCTTATAAATCATACAACTAGCCACATTGGTCACTCCTTGGAAACAACGATTGATCATGCAACTAACCTTGTCATCCAATTGAGAGAACAAGCAACATAAGATATTCGAAAATGCTGTAATTGTAGAAGATAGCAAAACAGATCTACAAATATTTTTTTGGTGCTTATCGTCCTCCGTACTACAGTCAAGCTGATAGTAAGAAATGATTGTAGACTTTTCCAGAAATTTCTCTTGTGATGTTTATAGCCATTTAATTTTGAACTTTTAAGTAGTTGAAAAGGATACTTTGCTTTATACTGACTAGAAATATTGAGCATTCAGTTTTATGGTTGTGTCAGGTTATATTCTTTATAATAGACAAGGATTTGTATCAACTCGGTTTTGAGAAATTGTTCAATGTCCAGTTTAGCTTGTTGTTGCTTCATTCAATATGGAGACAGTAAACTGTGTCTATCTCTCAGCATTATCTGTGACTGAGACTGGAATTGCAAGCATCTTATCTAATCTTTGATATCTTGTTCTCTGTATCCTATTCCTGATTAGTGCTTCAGATAATTCCCTTGCCTCTTTCAGTTATACTCAAAAACAATTTTGATGCTAGAACTTTTATAACTTTGTTGAAATGGCAATGCAGTATCAAACAGCAGTTCAGAGGGGCAGGTTGGATGAAAAGAGAGCAGTTTATCAGATATGCAATATGTTCAGATGTAAGTTCTGAAAGTAGGTATCCTTAAGTAAATATACTGCAAAGCTTTAGATATATTTTATTTTTCTTTTTAATCTTTCCATGATGCTTGGAGAATGCAAATCTTTGTGGGCTTACCTTGTATCCTGTGTCTTTTGCACCAAACAGCAAGAGTGGTCATGACTTAGCATACAGGATTTTGTGCTAGTGGTATTGGTGCTTCTATTCCTCTTTTACATAATGGAAATAATTCATCTTCTTTTTTTTTTCCCAAAAAGAACTTTCTGTTGCATTTCATGTATGATTGCTAGTTTGCTACTGTCTTTTAACTAGTTTAGGTACTGTTTCAAGGTAGAGTAATTATATCAATATTTCAATATGCCTGGATTAGTTGCGTAATGTAGCACACTAGGGATAACGCTTAGTATGCCCTTTATACTTCCATGCGCATATGTTTATGCATATAAGCATGGATTTTCGTTTTATCGTAACATATACATCTCATGCACTACTTCCACACCCTTATCCCTACAATATAAATATGAATATGCATGAATACATGTATACACATATCCAGTTGTACATGCCTTCACACATATCAATATGCAGAATAATAATACACTCACATATGTAATTGGTATGTGGTGACAATTTATTTTGCTAGTTGAGCTGAAAAAAAGGACCAGTAACAAGGCCCCTGTTATCACATCAGAGCAGATGGATCTCACCTTAAATTACCGGACACCTCATTTAGGCGCCCTATCCGTGTTGACATTTCCCGTATCCGTGTCCATGTCCAAGACTCCTTGGACACTTCTTGAATATATATATACATACATTTCTTCAGATGTGTACTCAATTATATAATAAATGTTTTAGTTTAAAACGCTTGTGATACACTTCTTGGACATGTATCATACACTTTACCTCATATTTCTGCAACTTGTTAGACTTAGGTCGGGTTTGTTCAACCCATACCCAGTTCATAAAGTGGTTTTCCAATTTATACTCAATAAAAAAACATAAAAACGTTTTAGCAATTTTGATTCTCGTAACATGTGAATGAAACAGTATCAATGTCAAATTATTAATTTAAATATGTATATATAGCTGTGTTCCTGTATTCTACCTTCTACGAATTTGTTGTGTCCCGTATCTGCACCCATACTCGTGCATTATAGAGCTCATCATTTTTACCTCTGAGCAACTTATTTTGCTAAATGAGATTAGAGGCCATATTCTGTACCTCTATATTTTGCTGTATGGAAGGAATGATTTGGCTACTTCTAGAAGAATTTGAAGCAAAATCATTCCCTTGCAAGTTCAATGCTTTAAATCAATATAAAAATCCACTCTGTTAAAGTTATATTAGCATGTAAATTATTGCACACACATAATTATGCACCAAATCCTTATTCAAACTTGTTGAAATGGCTCTTCAAATTGAAAAATCTACTTTCTTAAAGTTGATGTATATCATATATCATGTGTAGTGCTTAAGAATCAAAGTCATGTGGACCTTTATTTTCTTACCGATGTGTTAGGCAATGTTTTAAAAAGCAGGTTAGGTGTCCACTTAAGCCTCTACCTGAGCAAAGGCGGTACACAGGAGTACGGATTTTATCCGAATAACCGAATACAATATCTGCGTACAATAGGGCAATATTTATATGAGGCATTCACGAGAGTGTGGGGGGTCAGTTTGGGAAGTTTAACTATTTTATTTATGGTATTCAAAAGCAGTCTGGGTACCTACTTAAGCCTCTACTTAAGGAAAAGTGGTGCATAGGGAATACATATTTTATGAGAACGATTGTTTTAAATATCCTCGATAATGACATGACCTATATATGTGTTGATATTTCCTTTTATAAGTTTTGTCACGAAACAGTATGGTGATATATCCTATACCGCTTTTGACAATTTTTCGATAATATATTGTGAATTTCCTGATATATCAAGTTTCATTTTAGCCTCAAAAGATCGTTTGAAATATTGCATTATTTATTTGGACTTTTATTTGTTTCAAAAGTGGTTTGGATTTGTGGTTCAATTGAGGTCTAAACACAAACTAATTTCAGCTCATGGAAATAACTTGAAATAAGAATTAGGGCTCAATTGAGACCAATTTCTTTTGCAAAATTTTTTGCGAATGATACCTCTTCTCTGCAGCTTCATTTTTTGGTGCATCAAGTATTCATATTTATGATATATGTGTACACATTGTCCAATATGACACCCGATATTTAGTAAATATCCTTGTTATATCTCTGATATCCACCATCCAATAAGGAATTTTTTCGTCCAATGTGTTCCTGACTTTCGATATTTAAAACATTGATCAGAACACCCACATATAATACCTACATGTAATAATGTGGTCTGAGCCATTCACAAGAGCATATGGGGGTTAGTTTGGAAAGTATAGCTATTTTATTTATGGTTCCCACCAACCCGTTCTTGTAGTGGGGTAGTTTTGACGGGATTTGTTCTCGTGGCCAAGGAAACTCATTGCTTCTCCCATATTAAGCCCCAAGGGCCCCTTGGGTGGGTGTTGGCTGCTTAAGCTGACCGCATTGTGTCAAAAATGGGTATGAGATCCTCTGAAGCATATTAATAATGGGTAAAGAAAAAACTGCTTGGGTCAAAATGGGTTGAGATAATAGCCGATTCCGAATTAGTCAATCCTATGAAAATTCCTTTGCCCTCCTTGTTGCTTGGCCTTTCTTTTCGCTGCAAGAATAATTGCCCTCGAGTTTCGACCACCACTATAGCTGTCTCAACACTGGAACTTACAAAAAAGTTAATCTGTCTTTAATTTGGGTAGCCCATCGCACGAGGCTCCCATCATTTTGGGCTCTGGGGAGGGTCAGATATATGCAACCTTATCCCCGTATGTGAAGAGGCTATTTCCAGGATTTGAACCCATGACCTCCAGGTCCCAAGGCAACAACATTACTGTTGCACGAAGGCTCACCTTCTAATCTGTCTTTAATTTATTATTCATATTCTTATTTTTGTTTATAGATTACAATAAAAATTTACAAATTCATCTCCTTCATGATCGCTTTCTTTCTCTTTCTCTTTCTTTCTTCCTCCTGGTCTTCTCTTTCTCTCCTTCTAGTGCCTCTGAACTATGGTAGAAACACAGCCCCCACCATGAAAAAAGTCTTGATGTTGCTTAGGCACTTGTGTGTGCATTGAGCACTACGTCCCAGATGTGCCAACATTTTCTAAAACATTGGTATCATAGAAAAAAGTCTCTTGATGTTACACGTGATTTTTTTTGAGTTTTGGGTCAATTCTTTGAACATAAACATGGGCTAACAATAAAAGACAGTATATGCCTGCGTTTAAGCATTCTAAAATGTTTAAAGTGAAGTGCGAGTTGACACATTTCTCACAATGAGCTATGTAAATATTCAATTTTGTAATTTATGTGGAGCGTAGAATAATGAAACAATGATAGATGCAGTGATTTTTTTTTCAAGTAAACCAGTGGTGAAGGTGTTAAATAGGTCCTTCTCCATTAGCTTTAACTTCAGGTCCAGTAACTTTGTAAATGTTTTGAATCACTAATATGGATAGGAGGGATGGATATACATACTGTCTTATTAGGTCATATTCGGATTTGAATTTGAAATTGTTCGTATGTGTTAAAATTTTGCTGTCAAATTCAAATCTAAAATACAATTTTTTTCCTTACAAAATTTTGCCTGATCTGTATTGTATTGGAAGATAAATGTGAATTTGCATATGATCGGAAATCCAAGGGCTTCTTAAATTAATGACCAATGTTTTAAAGGCGATCCACCTTAGCGCCTCAGGCCCTCAGGAGAGGCGATCTTGTAACTTAGCGCCTTGTGTATTGCCAGACGATGAAAGTTACTAGGGCGAGCGCTTTTTGGCGCCTCAAGAGCTTGCCTTGGTGCCGCATGATCTCACCTTGTTGCCTCTGGCACTTGCCTAAGGCATGTAATGCAAGGCATGAAGTGTTTGTCTCTATTTCCAAATTTTGAAGGTGCCAAAGGTGTGTAATAAAGTAAAGTTTGTTTTGATTGAAGTTTTGCGTTTCTTTTTTCTTGGTCGATTTTCACTATTTTTTATCGTAATGTACTTTATTAGCTATATCATTTTGGGGACATGCCACAATTTGAACCTTAGTTCAAAGATTGCTACTTATTTGTCTATGTTAGCAGTTACTAGTTAATATTACTATATAATATTTGTTACTTACTACTTCATTTAGATGGTATATAGCTTATTAGATTTATGGCTTTGAAAATTTGGCTGTGATTTATTTGTCTTGTTGCTAGTTATTGATATTTGCATACTGTTTGTAATATTTAAGAATTATTTGAATATTTATCGCCTTGGTTCATTCAAGTGATCTCCTTCTTTGGCGCCTCTCGTCTCATGAAACATAGGACCTCATTGCCTTGACCTCGCCTTTTTCTTTTAAAACACTGTCCATGAGTAGCGAATTGATATTGATGTATAATATGATAATGGCCCTGAAGCATTTTATGAGTTTCTTATAAGTAGTCTTATATATGGACTTGTCCTCTTTGGATTCAAGTTGGCATCCATTTTAGTATATATCCATATCATAACTTTCTGTTTTTGGTGAATATAATATTGATCTTCATGATTGTCAGAGATCTGGATTCAAATACAGGTTTAAGCAGAACACGAATATGAATACCGGAACACAAATATGAATACCAGACACCAGTATTTGCTCTGGATCCAGTCCGTTTAAACCCCTTTTCATCATGACTTCTATGGATGAGCGTAACCTCTTAGTTATTCCTGTCCAGGATTATTACTCACTTATCTTGAAAAGTTGGGTAGACCTTAAACCATCCCTGAATATTTGTACTAGTACAGGTTGAAATACTTTTGAATTATGCATGGATTGCTCAGATCTGAATCCCAAAATTGACTAGCAAAAACCACATGTGGTACGCAGTGTAAGCTTGGGTGCATGCAAATTCTGATCTCTTGGCAAACTCAACCCAGCCACAAGGATATAGCAATTAGCCTGGTTGTCACCAATGTTGATGTCTCGTGATGTGTTTCGAGCCATAGCCTGTGAGCTCTATGTTCTACCCTGGGTCTGGAATTTCACTTGTTTACCTCAATCTTTGGTTCAGGCTGGACATGCCGTAGACTTTAAGCTTTATGTGACACCTAGGGCGCTATCTACCTCAACCTTATCCGAGCACTGGCTGAACGCATTCCGACTTCCAACTCTAGACTTGACTGACCATTGAGGCCTAGCATATAGATTGAAAAACGTGACTCTGACACAGACGTGAGAGTGTCAAAGGCGGCGACTGTCCAACATGCTATATGCTCCTAGTATGTGTTTGTTTCTGACCTTTATGTCTTGGTTATCATTCATATACGTGAAAAGAACCAATAATTTAGTTAAATAATGTATAAAACACTACTACCAATAGGCAGCTTCACACATTATGAAACACTACTAACTTGACATACTACATTATGACATACTGCATCTTATACGCATTTTTAAGGCATTGCAAGGCTTGGATATTCTTGAGACACTTTTTTGCACCTACGTGGTGAAGTACTGACCTGTATGAACCAAACTTGAAATGACCAGCATGACCACACCATGTGCTGGGGGGTGGGGTAGCCTGTGTGCAAGAAAACCTCATACTCCCAGCTTGAATCCCAACTCCACAAAGAAGTTTGATTAATTAAGGATAAATTTCACAAAACCCAAAGAAGTTTGACTCATTTTGAGCTCTGAAGCACGGATTCGCCAAAAGAGCCCACGAATCCGTGTCCGACTCGAATTGGACACGTATTCGTGCACGACACGTGCACGACATGTGTCGGACACGGTCAATCCGTGTCCGACACGGGTCAACGGTCAAAGTTGTCTGGGCATGGTCAACGGCGGGTTGGACACGGTGCGGATTCGCCTGAGGAAGAAATGGGTTATGCGCACTGAGGCGCTCCTGAGGAAGAAATGGGTTATTGGGTAGGAAGAAATGGGTTATTGGGTACATACCCGATTTCCACTTAAACCCGAAAGCAAAAACAAGTTGGGCTAGGGTTTTGTCGGTCCTCCAACTCTTTCTCTTGAATGAAAAAAGCAGCGGCGGTCTCCACTCAGCAGCAGCAAGCGACGGGCGGCGACGAAGGGCGGCGATGACGGGCGAGCGGCGACGGCAAGCGTCCTGCGGGTTCTTCTTCTCTTTTTTTCCAGTTTTCTTTTGTTTTTCGATTTCTTTTTATTTCCTTTTTGTTTTCCAGTTTTTTTTCCAGTTTTCCAGTTTCATTTTGTTTTGCAGTTTTCTTTTGTTTTCCGATTTCTCTTTTTTTTCCAGTTTCAGCGCCGATGATCTTTTTTTTACTGTATGTATTTTAACAGTAAAAATGTTGTTACTGTTGCTATTGTGGTCTCTCAGGGAAATTTGATTGTTGTTTTATCAATGGTGACTGAATATATGCATATAATTCTAGCTCTGTGGAATTTCTACGTCCATCATTTTTAGATCATTTTTAGAAATTATTATAGTTTATTAAGATCGTTGTAAAGGATAAAAAACATTTTAGATTTTTTTAATGTGTAGGCAGATCATCCTCATTTCAGTAGCATTGTTTAATGAGTATAGATTCAAAGAGTTAAAGGATGTCGCATGTTTCAGTTTGACAGCAAATTGGAAAGCCTCAAAGTTGATCTAAAAGAGCTCAATAATAAATAGTTCAATATTTCAATCATATTAGCTCACATGTTGCCAGAGCAAAGTTGAATCTGTCTGACGTCCAAGTTGAACTTTAACCAAGAATTGATCAAAAAGGAAAAGCTTCTACTAGATAAATTCTTTCTCTTGTAGCTGCTGAGATGTCATTTTATCAACAAAAGGCCAAGATCAACTTCAATAAGGTGTATGTTTTATATGATTTTAATGATAATAGACTTGTAGAGGAGGATACTATTATGAATGAAACCCTCAAATTCTACTAGATAAATTGCTTGCTTCTTATTAATACATTTCGGTCATAATTGTTGAAAGTTTTTAAGCTTATTGATGGAGTGCTAATGCTACTATTTGATTTCATGTGTGAGATTGCGAGTATTGATTCTTGCTATTTGAGCTAGGTGTAGTGCAGCTGCTAGTAGTTGAAACTTAAAACTTGATTCTCCATTTGTAACCTGTAAAGAAGAAAAATAAAATTTAGCAATATAGTTGTTAGTGATGCAATATACTAGTATGAAAGTTTGAATAATTTTATTTGAATTTTATAAATTTTTCTATATATAATAATAATTAAAAAAATCCTTGTCGTATCCCTATATTCTATGTTTTTGGATTTTGCCGTATTTCGTGTCCGTGTCGTATCCGTGTCCCGTATCCGTATCCGTACATCACAGATTTTGAGACATCCCCTTAAAGTTTGGGGATGTCACCTAACCCCTAAAACTTTAGCATTTTCTAAATCTTTTTTTATTGACCCCCATTTTTTTGGGCTTACTTGAAAAGGATTTGGTGGTTAAACTGAGATTTCCAAAATTTTTGGGGATTATCCCAAAATAATTAGTAGGTGTCGGAAGATTCTAATACATTTCTACACACGCGCACACACCTACTCACCCACCTATTCGCGCATGCGCACACATGCACACGCACACGCACACGCATACATGCACGCGTTCACATGGAGGCACACAGAGAGGGAGAGGGAGCGTTTTTAGAATTTCCGTCTACACTGTAGTTTTTTGTTTAGAATTTTTGTTTACGTCGTCGTATTTTCAAAAACATGTTTGTCGTATTTTCAAAAACATGTTTGACTTCAAGAAATAAGCATGGAAAAATGAGCTAGAAACTGCCTGAATACACTGTTCTAACAAGGGAATTAAAGGTTGGTAAATAAGAAACAAAGTTTTTTCATTGACTGGAAAAAGAGTTTTGAAGAAAGGTTCTTGTATAACCTATGCCACACATGAGTTAAGAATTTCCACTTATGAATTAAGAGTAGAGGAACCAAAGTGTAGGGAAGTATCAGAAAGTACAATACGGTTGTTTAATTCATACCTTAATTCTAGTATTTCATTTAAGTATTTTTTTTCTATGCTATGATTTTGTGGAGCTTTTTTTTAACCTTAGACTGGACCTCCTTTCCATTTTTGTTCTCTAAAATGGATCTTTAGATCCAGTGGATTTTTGCTAAGGTTTCATACACTTTTTCTTTCTCTTTCCTTCCTATCCTAAAGAACGAAAAAAGGGAGGACGAAGCTTTAGTCACGTCACGTAGAATTTTATCTCAAAGTTTCTTTATCTTTATATTTTTTTCATATTAATAACTAGTAACTAGAATTAACTTCGCATGGGCATTTTGCACGTAGCTATTGAAATAGCTGTTTTGGCTACAGTTTCTGATACCCTGCCCATTGCATAAAGTATTCGGCCTGGTTTAATAACTAATACTCGATATTCAAGGGATGCCTTCCCCAAAGCCATATGTGTTTCCATAGGCCTTAACGTAACAAGTTCATCGTGTAATATACGTATCCATATTTTTTCACCACGCCGCACATATCATGTCATTGCTCTTCACACTGCTTCTATTCGTCTACCTGTGATCTAAGTGGGTTCTCGTGCCTGAGGCTCAACATATATGCTCAACATATATGCATGTCCGTTTTCAAAGCGCGAAGAGTAATTGATCAGATTTGTGGTCATTCTTATGAGAAACACTTACGATACTGGGACTCATACCTTATCGAGCATCTTATCCCATTTTAAAATTGGTTGTATTCTGCAGCAGCAAATGCGAGTCATAACATGGGTTTGAGTGAAGCTGATTCATTCATTAGTAAAGCTGAAGTCAATGGAGGTCCTTTTGTGAAAAAGTTGGATCTAGGACTAGTTACACTATTCAAAGTAGAAATTGAAATGTTAGGCTATTTCATTTGACATATTAATATGTAGAATTTGTAGCTCATGAAAATTAAAAATGTCTGTCTGACTGCACCAAAAAGCATGTTTGTAATTTCCATGTAACAGACCTGCATGTAAGGGTGTGTGTGTGTTGGATGGCAGATAGATGCCCATTGGATGGTACATGGAGATAAGTTAATTTTGGTGATTGATGCTAGCGGCATAATGTGATATACAGTAAATTAAGTGACCTAATTTGGCAAGAATCTGGAGACACAAGAAAAATGGGTGATGGTGTCAAAGTGTCAATGAAATAGAAAATATGTATCAGAATTCAGAAAAGAGAACATCTACAAAGCAATTCATCACAAAATATTTGAATGATGTTGGACTCACATGTGTGATAACATAACAATGGATTCCCTTGAGATCTATAAGAATCTGTTATGAGTTGCGTGGAGATGGATTTGTTTTTCTTGGTCTTTTGTTTGACTGACAAAAGCAATTCATCTACAAAGCAATTCCTTGCTCAAAACATTTGAAATATGTTGGACCAAATGTGATAAAATAACAATGGATTCCCTTGAGATCTATCAGAATCTGTTATTAGGTGCATGTAGATGGGTTTATTTTTCTTGGTCTTCTGTTTGACTGACAAAGGAAGGATTTCCATCTCGTGTATGTCAAGGTGGTCACTGCAGTTCTATTTTCCATTTCTACTTTTATGACCTGCTTTTACAGAATTTCTGAAGTTTGATGAGATGCATTCACACCATAAGGTATGGGCTGCAATCTTTGGATGTGCATTGACAACATTTTTGAAGCCATGCCATATAGTAAATATGTCTGCTGACTGGAATTAATTGATTTAAGATTTATTCTTGAAGAAGTTTTAGAACTTTGTACTGATAGGAAATATGATATCATTGATATGACTGCTGACTGGAATTAATTGATTCAAGGTTTATTCTTGAAGAAGTTTTATAACTTTGTACTGATAGGAAATAGGAAGAACTGTGTGAAAAGCGAGATAAAACACCACATATAAACTCGGCTTTAATAAATGATTTCCATGATACAAGTTTCTCATTTCATACGTTTATTTGTTAATTGCTCATTGTATTTGGATTCCCAGGATGATGTACAGTGCTCATGTTATGTTTATTTGATTTATTCGTCATAGTTCTCAAGTGTGGTGAGGGTCTCATGCTCGAGCTGTTACAATTACACCTGCAAGATGCTTGTAGGATCCACTTCCACTGTCTTTCCTGTTTTCCTGGAATAATAAGAGGCATACCAAAGAGGATAATGCACATGTCATAATTTAGTCAGAACATCTGGTTTCTGTGACATTCTCAGCTTGTCTACGATGGAAAACTGAACAGTTAGTGCTTCCAGGAAAGATGACGTTATCATTTAGCTCTTGATGTTCCAACAGGAAGTAGTGTTGGATAGTTCATGAATGAATCGGGTTTCTTGAAAGCAATCTGATGATGTGTGGCTAGTGCAGGCCTTGGTTTCTAAGGGCAAAGCAGTAAAGTTAACTCAGTAGCATGTGATATGTATCATGTGGCTTCAAGCAGCAAAGGTTTCTGCGGTTTCAGGTATGATCTTCCAGATATTATTTTGTTTATTCTCTAACATTGCTTCTCTTTTGTCTTCCTGCGTGGTGGCAATGAGGCTTATAACCAGCAGATTTTCACTGTAAGTACAATTTTCTATATATACCTTCATTTTTATAACTAGCATCACCGATGATGTGAACTTCTTCCAAATGTTGGTATAGTTGGTATTGCAACTACGCTCGTTCTGTCAGGAATTTCTGAACTCCCATTTGAGGTACAATTATGAAGCGGCCCATGAGGTTTAGATTTTATACAACAGCATGTAATTTTAAATGTTCTGTGGTATATCCTTGTGGTTCATCAATGAGCAGTTCTGGTGAAGCATTGTTGCATCACAGGTAGCAGTTCATGTTGATGCTTTAGAGCTACACAAATCTCAATAATCCATGTTGAGGTAATGTAGATTGTGTAATTCCTCAGTGAGTGGTTCTGACATTTCACAAGCTGTGTTAAATAATTTTCTGCCCGTTGATTACGTGTTTGTTAGTAATTTTCTTAGTAGTTAATTTGCATAGGGTTCTCCTGCATGGTGGGAATGCAGCTAGAATTTAGCTTTGTTATGTTAAACGCATGCACTGTTGTGATGGTTAAGAGTTAAACGGAAGGAAATTAACTCCTCGTTTGGTACACAAGAATGGGGTGGAATGTAATGCTCAGCCCCACTTTTCATTCTCGCACACCAAACATACCAATGTTTTAGAAGAGTTGGAATACCCTTTACCAGGGAATACTTATTCCTACTTCATGCTAGAATGAGCATTCCTAGGGAGCTAGGGATCATTCCCATTTAAGCGGGAATCAAATTAGATAAGAAAATTTCAATTTATACCCATATTGACAAAGAAATCTTAAAAATCCTGACAGTTGCTTGATAAATTTGACAAATATGTCCTCTCCAAATTTATTATTGAAAATCTACAATTACTATATTTTAGAAGTTTATGTTATGAGGGATAATTACTTGAAATATTTGTTCGTGTATCTATCATAATCAAAGTCTCTTTTATTAAGGATTTTCAGTTGCCATTATTTAATTTTTTACTTTTAAAGATAATTATTACTTGAAAAAGTTTTCTTGAGGTTTGATGTTCGTCCAAATCATTTCTTTAGTATTTTGTACATTTTCACGAGTCTATGCACATTATACGTATGTGTACTTGTATGATTTTTTGGCGTCTTATTAGATCTTCGTGCATACGATCTTCATATAATGTTGATTGTGTCACTTTTATCACTTATTTAAGTTTAAGTGCTTCACGTGTTTGATTTTGTATGGGTCCCCATGCAACCTGAAATACGATTACAATGCATCAGACCGAGGTTTTCATCAAATCCTATAAAATTGGAAGAAGGTGTTATGTATCTAGAATAATTTTGATCATTGTTGATAATTTGTCGAATGAGATATCATCGTTTGCATCGATTGCCATATTAACCTGTCAAATTTTCAAAATTGATTAAACTTGATGTAGATGTAATGTTAAGAGCTCCTATATCAATTTGACATGAGCTCTCTTTTTTTATTGATTCTTAAAGGCACTTTGCTCATTCACGTGATCATTTGATGAAAAAATTAGAAAGAATTTGGACTTTGGAATAAAATATTATCATACTGAAATTATGTTACAAGTGTCATACTGAAACAAGTTCTGCACCTGTATCTTTAAAATTATATTTTTTAATAATGCTTTTTATATTTTTAAATTGTATGTTGCTGTAAGGGCATCATTAGAAAATAATAATCCATTCTTACTCGTGGACAAAGAATACCAAACGCCGGAATAGAAATAAGATTGTCATTCCCGCTTTTCTAATCGCACGCAAATGTGAGAATGAGAATGATCATTCTATTCCTACATTCTTACTTGGGGATAGAGAATACCAAACTTGGGAATGAAAATAATATTGTCATTCTCGCTTCTCTAATTGCATCCAAACGTGAGAATGAGAAGATCGTTACATTCCCACATTCCATTGCTAACTTCATTGCTTTTTGACTTGACTTTATTCCTCGGTACTGAATGAGGTCTAAAAAGAAAAGAACACCTATATCAGGGATTGTATTGCTAATAAAATAAAAATAAGAAAATAAACCATGTCTTCTTTCTTTCCTGGACAATCTAATCGCTCCCTCTCACTTTATGTTTTCTCCTCTCTCCCTTCTCCTTTCTTCATTTGAAGCAGTTTTTCTGTTTTCTGATGTATTTGATTTTTTTTTCCTTAATTTTGTGTATGTGATGGAATTGATTTATGTGTTTGCGTTAATTTCATCTCACCCCAGATTTATGAATTTATTTATTTATTATTATTATTTTTTACTTTTTGTAATTTGTTTTAAGCATTGACAATTTTTGGTAGATAATAATTTTTTATTCTTTTATTTTGTTTTCTCCTTTTATGTTCTGTTCATTGGTGGTAGCAGCGGATCTAGATAATTTTTCCTTTTTCATCTAAAAATAGAACAAAATATTATAAACCTATTGGAAACGATTTCAATGACCGAAACGCTTATCAATTTCATCGCATCATATTTTGCTTGTAATGAGATAGATAAACAAAAATAAGCACTCCTACTCAAAATTTATCTGCATTAATGAAATCAAAATATACATACTTGCTAGTAAAAATACACTACAAAATCCAACATTGCAATTAGATTTGAAAAACATTTGAATATATAACATAAACAAATACATATCAAAATTAAATTCATAAAACAAACACTTGGTATGCACTAAGCAATTGTAGAAGATTGTTGACAAAAAATATATGTATATCAAAAGATAATTACTTTTACAATAAAAAAAAGATATTTCAAAGTGCAACTTTACAATTGCTCTCCACGATTTATGATATTTTGAAGGTGATGTATGATTTTCTCGGTGGCAACGCTATTAAACATGGGTCTTTATACATATCACATATGTAACCAAACAATCATTAACCTATTCATCTTCCTTTTTGTTATGCAACCAATTCTTCACAAACTACATTGCTGAAAAAAAGTCGCTCTACCGTTGCATGTTTGTTATGCAAATTATTTAACGAACAAACTAATTTATTGCATATTCTTGGCATATTAAATTTTTTTTTGACTGAAAAAAAGCAGGGTTAGAGGCCCTGCTCATTTAAAGAATAATTATTAAAAACCAAAACATAGCAAAAATACATCACAACTTGATGGAGAATCACAGGGGGAGAAGCAGATAAGGAACGGACCTATGTCGTCACCTACCAAACTAAACCCACATCGATTCTTCGACTAGAAAACACATAAAAACATACTTACATAGCAGAGTTTGAATATAACACACTAGAAGACATGACTACTTAGTTTTTTAGAGAGATAACAAAGACAGATTTGCCTGCAAAAAGGAAGATTTCCCTGTCCAGCAAACTCAGAGGAAGCGTGGATTAGAGGTCATTTGAGAAGTTATCCCCAGAGGCGTCAGCGTTCATGTTGACAAGCTCCTGAAGACCAAGATTAAAAGCAGCCCTGCGAAGTCTCCTAGCCAACCTCTCCTCTTCGGCACCTGCCCAAAATATTGTAAATCTCCCAATATTAGAAGCAATAAGAAGTGGATTAGATTGACTGTCCTGGCAGCAAGATCTTCCAGATGGTTTTAATGTCCGAACAAATATTATGAGATTTGTGGAAGAAAATCAATTCCTCCATGGACTGAGGCCAACAATTTGTAGGGAGGAGGGGGGAGAGAAAAGTCCAAACTGCACGAGCAAAGGAACAATGAATAAAAAGATGATCATGCGATTCAACACCCATTAAGCAGAAAGAACATCTCGGATCACCAGTCCAACCCTTATGGATCAAATTTGCCTTCGTATTCAACTTCTTTTTGGAAATAATCCAGAAGAGGACTTTAACCTTGGTAGGAATAGCTGATTTCCAAATCATATTGTAGAACTGAGATATAACACCCCCTGAGTTGATGAAGGAGTAATAGGATTTAACTGAATAAATCCCCGATGGGAGGAGAGTCCACCGAAGGTCATCTGGAGCAGAGGAGGCTCTAAAATTGATAGATGCTAAGAGAGAGTGAAGATGGTTAAGATCTGACCTTTCAGAGATCGAAATACCTCTTCTAGTTAGAGGATGCCAATGACATACATCGTTGAGCATTCTGCCTTGAGATCTGATACAACAGTTTTGGGAGAGAGCTAACTGGTATGCATTAGGGAATAGGCTGCAGAGGGAGTTGGTCGATGACCATTTGTCATGCCAAAAGTCCTGGATGAATCTGGAAGCCGAACACTTTGGATGATGAACAAAAGGATTAGACCCATATTTAGAATAAACTGAGAAAATCACTTTGCTAATAATGGAATTTCTGTCGAAAATTTTCCATATCCATTTGGAGAGAAGGGCTCTGTTGAAGATGGGGATGTTAATGACCCCAAGACCTCCTTCCACCTTGGATTTGCAAACATTCCCCCAATTAATAAGACATTTGATACTAGAGTGAGAGTGGCAGCCATTCCAAAGAAAATTTCTCCTAATTCTGTCTATGGCCTTAATAATCCATTACGGCAGCTTGAAAAAAGAAATATAGTAGAGGGGGAGGGATGAGAGAACTGAGTTCAGAAGAGTTAACCTTTCGCCAATGGAAAGGGTTTTGTTTTTCCATAACGAGAGTTTCTTCTTGAATGACTCTAGTAGAGGTTGCCACTCTCTCTTAGAAAGAGAGCCTCTTTTGAGGGGGAGGCCCAAATACAAGAAAGGGAGAGATCCGACAGAACAGTTGAGGATCTCTGCTAGCATATTTCCTTTATGAGGGATTTTACCAAGGTAGAAGAGATTGGATTTAAGGGGGTTGACACATAGACCTGATATGTTAGCAAAGATGGAGAGGATGGTTTTAAGGGTAACCATATCAGAGGGGATGGCCCTGGAGAAGATGACGATATCATCCGCAAACTGGATAGTCCTGATAGAATTGAACTTTCCTTTCAAACTGAGATCTGATAAATCCCCCGAAGCTGCGCTACACTTCAGCATTTTACTAAGAACATCAGCCACTAGCAAGAAAAGCAAGGGGGATAGGGGATCTTCTTGTTTGAGACGCCTGAAGCATCGAAAGAAATTTGTAGGGGAACCATTCACTAATACAGCTGATTTCGAAGAGAATAACATGTGGTGAATCTAGAGGCACCACTTGGGGCCAAAACCTCTGGCTTTGAGGAGAGACAGAAGGAAAGACCAATTAACACAATCAAAGGCCTTATAGAAGTCTACCTTGAAGGCACATATCTCTTTTTTCCCCGAGGAGCAAAAGTTGATCATTTCATGTCCTAAAAGAAAAGAATCCAAAGAAGATTTACCAGATTGAAAAGCTGATTGAGAGTTATCGATGAGGAGATGAAGAACTTTCCTTAACCTATTTGCCAAAATTTTAGAAAAGATCTTACAGGAGCTGTTGATAAGGCTAATAGGCCGAAAGTCCTTGGGAGAAATGGCAC